GTTCTAGTTCTTCTGGTTCGGTTCATGTGATGATCCCTCTTGAACGTCGTTTGAACTTTCCGTCCATCTGTGTGGATGAGCCAGTGCTACGGTAGTTGGCCGAATTGGCAAGCTGTTCGGACGCTTCCAGACATGAAAAAGTACATGTACGGAGAACGACATGTCTTCAAGGTCACCATCGTTCCGGATAGTAGGTGCGTTGGCTTGACCCTATCAACCCAACTCTGTCAGGTGACTCAGCAGGATAGGCCATTGAGCTTGGAACGCTCAGTATGGCTACTAGACGTTTCCCACAATCGGCCTATCTTTGTCGATATCGAGGAGGTGTTTGATTCAGTTGGTTGGATCACTTCCTGTCTAAGATTACATTCAAAGCATCCGTTGTTTTAGCGCTCATTGGAGTCTTCGGGCAACATTCATGCGCTTTCAACAGCATAAGAGGGGTTCGAAACTACTATTCGTTATTCCCGTTGCTTTTCGCCCTTGCTATGGGTGAGATATTGATAGATGTCCTTGAGAACTCATCCTTTGAGGATGTAAAGCTGAATCCAGGTGGCTTATTGTGTGGGCTGGAATGTGCTGACAGTCCGTACTACGGTTGGGGTTGCACTACACGCTTTGGACAATTTTACTAATCCAGTCGGCATTTTATCCTTCCGGGCAACAAACTGGCTTCACGGATTATCCTGACCTAACAATGATGAAGTTGTAATTTTGAGGGTTGTTGATTCACAACATCTGTGTGATGAGGCGACCAACCGGCAAACAAAGACACTCGTCATCAGCTAGGAATTCGGCAGACTCTGTCCTTTGTGAATGCGTAGGAAATGTTTTCATGCGCTTGTTGTTGCTATACAATAGTGCGATTTGGCCTACTCAGGATGCAGACAGCTAATCATCAGTGTCTGAGGACTGATGGGGAGGTCTGTCAGTATTTACTCGGCACAGGAGACCGCAACACTCCACATTGAACACAGCCGTTGCACAGCATGAAAGTCTGAGATTTTGAGAGATTTGAGAAGCAACATTCTCCTAGTGCGACTCCCACCATGGGACCTAACTACTCTCATCACTTTGTCGAGATGGTGTGTTGGCACAAACGCAACTGCATCAGGCGCCTCACCTTTCCTGTGAAGCAGCACATGGATGGTACAAAAGTAATCTTCAATAAAGGAAAATTTAGGACAGAAGAGCTACAAGGAGCCGTTTTTCTGAACGGACAAACCAGTATAGAATCAACCGCTTTTCTCGGCACAACACGACTTATGAGGCTGATGAAGTCTCCATCCGCAAAACAACAACACGTGACTTGTAGGCACGTGGACATAGTCAATAAACATGTTTTGGTTTGATGATTGACGTCGTTTGTTCAGCTGTGGGGTGAAGTGGCAGATGGATGGTTGTCCACATAGTCATTCCGACTCACCTTGACGACAGAATTGAGTTTTTTCTCGTTATTTCAGACGTCTGATTTACCAGCCAAAACTTCTTCAGGCTGGTTAAATTCAGTGACGTCAAGTGTGTTAGCAACTCAACTGACAGTTTAGCGAACCATGTCTGCCCATCATGGAACAGGATCTGGCACGTTTCAAGGTCATCGTGTGGCGGAGGTATGCTAATGAGGGTTTGTCAACATTAGAAACAGAAGTTCCGTTTACCTGTCCCGTTTATTTTCAACTATGTCACTTGAAGTTGTCGAGATCTTCAAAAACGCAAGGATGAGTTCTCCGGAAAGTCCTGGGAATCATACATTTTAAGATAAACCAGTAAGTGACCGCGCGACCACTTCGTTTTACGTAAAAAGACCCTGGTGTCTAAAGAAGATGAAAAAGGGAGAGGGAATAATCCCAGTGCCGACGTTTTCAGAAAACATCTAAAGTGACCTCTTTAGTTTGTTGCCACGTCCCGAGGTGTCTTTGGTCAAGTGGACCCCATTCTGGAAGACAGATGGTACCACACAGTACCTATACTTTTCGGAATATATTGCATTCCTTTCGGCCAAGCCAGATGCTCTCCGTATTCGATCTGCTACTCTACGACTTCAGTGCCAAAGACAGGCAGTGCCTGTCTGGCTCCAGACATCAATGACCAAAACTCCGAGGTTGATTTAGAAGCCACGTAGAAACCACGCCTCACGTCCGGACAGTGCAGAAAACTGTGGGCGACGAAAGTGGAGCAGTTTAGCAATTCAATTTTTACTTCCAAGGTTCGTGCACTGATCTAATTCGTCACACTATCCCCACAGCTTTCACAGCGCCTGGTGTAAGCAGGGAGAGCAGCGACAACTGTGCGCCATGGAGCACGAATTTACAATGTTCGGGTGCAAAACACACAGCAGGTGGTCGGACAACTCGGGTCAACTTATTGTTCCCCCCTTGCTGAAGACTAGAACGATGTCGTCCACGTATCGCAGATCAGCAGTATTTCCGTAGAAGCTGTTAACTGGTTTCAAACGATTGGAAATTGATTGCAAATAGAATAATCAGTCCCAGGTTAGTTCCGTCATTTATTGCCTTATTAGGTATCTGCTACAACGTGGTGTCCTGTCAATGCTCCGTTTCCCGTGTTATTTTTACAAATTACACGACAACTCAGACGAACGAAACCCACGTTGACCACTTCAAACATAATGGGAAAAACCACCAGGTGGAAATGAAGCAGGTATGATGACAGTGCCAACGCGCTATGGAATGATACAAAAAAGAAATGCTCCGATATCAATAAAGCTGTTTTTGTAGGCCATAAAGACAGGAAAGTTTGTACTAGTCTCTTGATGTCACGTATGCTGAAATGTGCCTAGCAAAGTTCTCAATTCCTAAACCCACCGGGTCCGCTAACACCAGCCTTTTTGTTCGAGTCAGTGTATTAGTCTTGTGAATTTAGGGTTGAATTTAAGGGGCGATGGAAGCTATTGATACCAGCCGAAGGCCTAGCGATTTGACGAAACCGTGCAGGCATTCGGTGTGTGGTAGTGGCCAATCAGGAGACAGGTGCAAGGACACTTCTGATTGGTGGCTGTGGAGATTGGGCCCTGCTGTTGATCGATAAGCGTAAGCAGATCGAAAGACTCACAGTCAATGACGCCATTGAACGAATCAATCAAGCTGAAAATCGGTAACCCAGGTCTCAGCATGGTAAAGCACAAAACATCCTAACCACTGCCGCCGGTAAAGTCATAAATCTTATCGCGGATATACATATATTAGACCTACCATATTCTGGTATAACGTCCTGTGGCCGATAGATTACGCATCGGCCAGGTATGAGTTTGGAAGGTTGCGGCGAGTGATAACTAACACGTTCAAATTTTGCAGAGTGTTATTACTGTATTGTACCAGGTGCTTTAGAACGTATCACTGAGCTTCTGTGCACCCATCCATTATCTTTTTGTTTCCCATCCCTGACCCAGAGTCCAGACGTGATTCATCCTGGAATGGATGTGACTCATCTATGTGTGGCTATAACAAAACGTAGGCATTAACTCATGTGTCTTTCCTTGATATTTGTGACACTGCAATTAGGGGGTTCAGACATTAGGCATAGACATGCGTTTGTAAATATTCAGCGGGCGAAAAAAAACACAAGTCGGTGACAAATGTCTCACCTCAATTAGCCATGCAATTTTGCAGTATATTGACAGTACCACACTGGAATGCTTGGGAAATGTGGAAAATCGCAGCTTTCTCACGGGTATCTCAGCGGTCTGTTAATAGCGTCGGCGCCGTCACACTTTACTAGATTTTAAGACAAGATGGGTTGGGAATATTCTTTTGACCGTAATTATTTGTCCTTTCGGCCACAAAACATTCGTAATCAGCTTAGACGGGAAGAAATGTTCCAAAAGGTGTATTAATACACCTTTCGGAATACGTCCTCCAAAAAGCCAGTCAAAATCGGACCACGTGACGTGAACTATGATCAGGAAACTCAAAGGTTAAAATCGTTACCTCTGGGTAGTCAGCAATCACATGGAAAGTTAGTCTGTAACTTGAAACTGCATATTTCTGAACATAAGAGACGCACATGGATGCTGATTACTACCTTCAAGATAGGTGAGCATGTTGTTTCCTTGTCGTGTGCCTTTTTGGTTGACGGACTGCCTGCTCACTTCTGCCAAACCACATCTCATCAGAATTTCATGTGGACTGAGAAACGACATGTGGTAATGTCATGCACAGAACGGCCGTACGTCCACAGTTGGGTATTTACGCTGAGGTTCCAGTTGGAACTTTTAACTGGCCTCATATGTTTTTCCTTATGAACCTGCACGGGACGATTCATGGAGACATCGGACAGACCAATCACATCGCCCAAGCACGAAAACGTTTGTCTGTTGGGACCTGATAATTCAGGTGCGCCCAGTTTACGCCGGTGGAACAGTGGTAAGACGCTCGCCTCGCTAACCACATATCCGGAGATCAACCGATAGAACAAGCGTGGATATGCACTGCTGGTGAGCTCTAAGAAGAACGAAACTGAAGTCCAGTGCTTCCCTCATCGATATGAACTCAATAAAGTAATGACATTAGGACACGAGAGGACTGTTCAGACGAGATTGATGTGAACACGAATTTAAAATGTGAATCGATTGGTCCTTGTACGACGCAAGCTGAACCACCTTTGGAAACAAAGTCATTTTATGGTGTTATACAAAAGCCAAACGACGGACCCCTTCAAACAACCATGCTCTAGTGGATATTCACCAGTGATCAGCTCTTAGAAACTCAAGGCATCCTTCGTTCGGATGCTAAAATCACTTAGGATTTGGCAGTTAAACATATTGCACAATAGAGTTGGGCAATCTATCCTTCTCTAGCACTCGGATATCCCACTCTTCGTGTGAACACCCTGTGTAACTTGATGTCCGTTGACGTCTGTCGGCACTACTGGTCGTCCGGTTGTTTTGCCCATAAGGCCCATAAGGCCCATAAAGCCAATCTATGTCTGAAAGCAGAGAAGCACTAAAGAGTTGTTTCATCTTTATTCGAAGTCACTAGTAGTACGCATCTCAGACCTGCAACCTTCCGGTTACTGGTTGAACACTTCACCTTTGACTACGAGCGGCTAAACAGGAGTGTGATTGGCGCTCGTTCAACTGTAGCACCCTTTTGGTGCCTAACTGCCATAACACCAGAAGGAAGCATGAGGGCTTGGATACTGCCAAGTTGCCCAAGCCCAAACAGGGGAAGTCGAGAGGCAGAGGTCGGGTTCGAACCACGGACCTTCCAGTGAGTAAACTTGCGCTCTAACTATTGAGCCATCTCGTCCCTGGTTGGCTCTCACTTCGACAGGATATAGTGGTGCTCCTTCGATCACGGTAACCACATCACAGCACTTTCGCTGAGCCACTTTGAGGTGGGCATGTTCTCACAAGAATCTCCTATCATGTTCGTTCTTCGCCGTTTCTCAGCAAACATCCCTCTGGAAAGAGCCTCACTGCAGATAACCTATTGAACGACAGTCCGCGGGCTGCTGTTTAAATTAACTCAAGTTTAATAGGGTAAATTTGCTGATCGGAGAAGCCTTCGTGACCGAAGCTTTGAAGAGTTGAAGAGGGTGGTAGTTAGTTCCAGAGTACAGTTGTTCGTCAGTAAAGACATAAAGCTCCAGCATTTCCGGAGTCTGAAAGCCAATTAGAAGTGTCTAAATGAGCAAAGGCACTTGCAACCACGGAACAAGTAAGGAGGAAATGACTGACACCAGTTCGGGAGAATAGTTGACAAAATTATATTGAAGAAAGTAGGAAGAGTGTCTGGCCTGGTTGGAGACTGTCGATGGGAGACAGACTGATAGCAAGACAAACAATCTTCCTTTCATTGATTAAATGGGACACCATTCCGGTCAATACAAGCCTCTGAAAAGGCAGTAAAGATCAGAAGCGTCGGATCTATGAGACTGAACAAGATAGTCGAAATTAGTGCAGCGTTGAAACGGAGTTTTCACAGTTCGCGCAAGCCTGTCCCCCGGAACCTACTTGATTTAAAGGCTGACTACCCAGCCAGAGGTAACTAGCGCTCTTTCTGCAAACTAGCAGTTTCAAGAATGTTGAATTGACAAATAAAGTACAGATTCAGCTCCGAAAAAAAGACCTCCACATACCCGATAAATAGTGTCGTTTGTCATTCGAAAGTCTACTGTCATTCCCCGTGAAAGTTTTCCCCCCTATCCCGTATTCGTCTGTCAACTATGTTCCTAATTGGACTGCTAAACTGACCCCAGCACGCAAGTCACTGAGAAATTAGAACAGGCAAAATGCGCATAAATCATCATAGCATGGGAGGCAACAAAACACCTGGAAAACACGATTTGGCAATTCTCCGTTTCGATCACTAGGTGTGAAAAACCGGTTAAATCACTTTGAATATAGTTCACACAAACTATGCTCGCCACGAGGAAGAAAGGTTTATTCGAAGAGCCTAATTGTTGGTTTCCAAACGAGAAAAGTAATGAACCGGGCACATGCACCCTCATCCTACTAGATCGTAAACCACATGGCTTACTATTGGTGTACGCCCACATGGGTCCCTACGTCTTTCAACATTATATCCGGCCTAAAAACTGGTAACATGATATATTCTATCTTCGTGGGCAATCAGGACAAAATGACCCGGAATTAGGCAAGTTTATTGGTTGACTGTGTGTGTGTTCATCAACCAGGCAGCGCACCACAGATTGGAGTGAAGGAGATTTGAATGGTCACGTGAGTTCACACCGAAACCGCCGTTCAAAACCAACGTCCATTGGGGAAGAATGAAACCCACGTTCGTCGTACATTGGCGAAGCCTCACTGTGGAGGATTTAGCAGCGACTGACTGAACTATCAAGCCAATACGTCAATAAATGGGCGACTGTTGTGCTGATTGGCTACAATCATAATCTTTGTTTCAAGGCAGGTCGAAGCCAATGCTTCTAAAATGCACCGATGTGATATTGAGGCTAATCTCTATGGTTTCTCCATCCTGTACTACGCAGAGCAGATTCTACACATCTCCTTACATCTTGCATGAACTTTGGCAGCTGTCTATTTGTCAGAGAACCCAACTGGTATTTGGTCACTGGGATACTGGATTACTCTTTGTATATTCTTGTCACAACTCTCTACGCCTTATTGCGTATCCCGGGCAGTTTAAGACAGAACTCCCTCGTTTGCCATCTAAATTGTAGCTTTTCATAAGAGATGCTACGTCCACTTGGGCTGAGAATTTTGCTTCAAGCTGTGTATCTTTGCACACATGTGCCTCTTTTGAACTTCTGAATGTCTACAAATCATGTCGTACATCGTTAATGGATACACGGCAATTAAAATTAAACTCATACAAAGCCATCTTCTTCTGGCGATTCGAACAAACACACCGTAGTTCGTATAATGTGGTCTTTCTTGAAGTACTATATAGGCCGACGCTCGGTATAAAGCAACCCTCAGTAGGCAACCCTGAGCACGTATATTCATTGGCTTGCAAAACAAAAAGCTCAACTACGGACGCATTTACCAAACTTCTGCCTTCTGAGTTCGGAGGGATGCAGAAGGTCTAATCATATCGTACGCATTCGTCCCGAAGATTTTAGACTTACGTGACTAAGGAGGCGTTTTGAAACCGGCACGCACTGATATGTCCTGTCAATTTCAACGGGCACAGATAACACAGTGAGTGTAAAAGTGCGGGACGCCTGAAGAGCCATTGTATTACATTCGTTTTTCACTTCCTACAGGATTGTTTTACATCTCTAAGACTCATGGAACATGGACTTAGCACGCATGTAGTGTTTGGGTGAGAACACGACGCCTCTATTTGCCAAAGTTTTAGCCGTGTCAGACATCCGCAGAACCAAGGAACACGTGCCAATCAGTGTCAAGGTCGAAACATTCTCTGTCCTACTCTGATTGGTCAGGTTCACGCTTAGGCGAATGGGTTGTGTTGAGGCTCAGAGAGCTGAGTTTGCACGCTTCTGTTTACAACTGACGGTCTTTTCAGTCCACATGGTGAATTCGCTTGGCATGCGCGATTTGCACTGCTTTGTTCAGTACCGTAAGCTTTAAGTAGCTAAGTTGTTGGATCGCTTCTCAACTCTAATGGCACTTGATATTAGACAAAACTGAAGTTCAAATAATCTTTTTGTCATGCATGGAGGTCATGTGAAGTTCGGAATTTTCACTGAGCAATGAACGAATGACCAGCTTGACATCTGGAATTTAGTTTAGGAGGTTAACGCTTTCACTGAAATCCACCTGGGAAGTGCCACTCTTTGCGGTCGTCGGTTACAATGAGGGGGGGGGGCACATTTTCCGCTGGTGTATATGAGGGCATCGGTCCTGCAACAATGTTTTTCTAATAGAGATTTTGACCAGTAAGTGAAAAGCCGAGGAATATTGTATAGCTCTTTCGTCCGTGTTGGAAATCACCAGCAGAACGCATCTGACGAAACTCAGAGAGTTTCGGAGCCGGGACTATCCGGCTGGTTGGTTGAACACTCAACCGCTCCACCAAGCGCGGTTTATCAGTAGGGTGATTAACTCTCACTTAGACAGGAAACAGCGCCACTGATCCTTGAATCACGGGATTCACAGGGACACGTGGTCACGTGTTGAACGGCTTCTCGGGTGACAACTCCTCAGAAAGAAGTTTCACTCACTGTGTAAACTCATCCTCTCTCTGAACACAGGTTTGCTTCACTTGCAGGACGAAAGCTTTGATGAGAAATTCTCAGATCTCATGGACTAAAAGTAGGGCGGAGGAAGAATAAATTCACACAATGAGCACAAGTTCTCACTTGAGAAGTCATCACTCGAGGAGCCAGTCAATATGTCACCACGTGATGTGGTTTCTATGCCAGTGAAAGCTAATCACACTGCTGTTCAGGGGCTCGTGGCCGAATATCACTGGTGCGAAGCCCTTTTGCGTCTCGTGGGATGTGTGGGGGTGAACGAGTAATACATTGCTCCTTGGCCTATCGGCAGAGATTTGCTTTATTCACAAGACGAAGCCTAAACTGAAAAAAACTTCTAACCCTACAGAAATATCTTCAACATAAGTAGTGAAAAGTTGGAGGGAAACATCATGGCTATAACAGACTGGGATATACGAAAAACCGTAGACAAGTTAGGAAGCTTTAGAAGGGCTCAATGTCCGAGAGTAGGATAAGCGCCAGTTGAGAAGTCTGGCAAGAAGTGCCTTTATATAAGGTCATTCAAGATGCAAGGAGATCTATATTGCCGACGGACGTTATCGGACTTTAGAATGTCTAGTGCTCTGATAGATTTTGAAAGATATCTGAGTAAAGGCAACTTTGGTGTGACACAGATAGTTATTGCGATGCGTCAAATTCATCTTCATCTTGCTGACATATTGTTCAATAACATGGCAATCACCATCGTTTCCTCCGAAGAATGGCTTTCCCCATTTTTCAAGAAATCAGGTCTACAGCAGACGGTTGTCTAGTCTTGTTTGAAAGATGGTGTCAAGACGGAAATCCCCATTATCCGACTCTATCACACGAAACGTGTTCACTGATTTGGACTACTGTCTCTAGTGCTGCCATAAATCAGTCATTTTGTCCTGATGGCTTACAAAGATGGAATACATCTCTATACTATATACCGGTTTTCCAGGTATGAGACAGTTGTGAAGGGAGTAAAGTGATTGCAGACACATAACTCACGGACGTACATTTATTGGCTGTGTGGTTTACAGCTTGACAATCCAAACTATGTAGGACGAACGACGTGAATAGTTACGCACGTTTTTCGGTTGGAAATCGATGAATATGCTTTTTGAGCAGATTTGTCACTCCGTTATCAACCAAAATGTGTATGGCTTTGTGTGAACTTCATTCAATATGTCATTCAACAGTCATTCGCAAATAACACTGGTTTTAGCGGGAAACCTATCTACATCCTTTGTGCGATGTGTCCCATTCTTTTCGAACAAAAGGAGGGAAGGCGAATCGTGTGTTCCGACCGTTTCATAACTGTTTCATGTTTTGCGTCTCTTTTGCTGCTGACCTCGTGGCAGGCAGGAAAATCGATTGTTTTCGTCTGCGTAAACATCCCTACTAAAGTTCTTCTGTACCTTGTCTAACTCAGACGCAATATCATCAACTTTTTGGATAAATTCTGTTGAAAAAATCCAATTCCTGAATAATTGTACCTGCGTTAGACGACCGCTTTCTTGAAACTTCATTAGTATCGATCTCTAGATGACCCTTTTGAGCTCAAAAATCAGTAACATCTTTCGTGTCGGAGGTTGAGATTCGGGAGGTGTGTTTAAGACATCACGAGAAGAACGAAGTTGGCGAAAAACACGATTCACTGTAACTAACACTCTTGGTTGATACATCATAAATTTCTGTGTTGTTAGGAACCACGTATAAAGTCCAAGACAGAGGTGTGTGACAGAGGTGGTGTTCTGGCCGAGCGGACCAGTTATAGAAAAAAGCTTTGTTCGTCCTTCACATGACTTCCTCAGGTATCTCCTCCTATAACCGCAATTACAGCTATCAGTCGACGGCACACTGGCATTTCTGGAGGCCTGAAGTACTCCATCTCTGCTTTTCACGTGCTTGACATTTGAATTAACCGGTTTCACAGACAGAGTTCCTATGAAAGCTTCAAAACCTGCCGAAATGACGTCAACCGTCTTCTAAGGTGCAGCGCTGTTCTGCCAGATGTTTCATGGTCACGGTGCGGGAACGTTACTTGAGGATATACATTCGATCCGATAAAGCTCAATCATTGTATCCTTAAGTTCGCCGCTCCATACCGTTTCACTTGAAATGCGCGGGTAACCTAGTGGTTAACTTCCGTCTTGATGACAGGAGATCGAATCCCTCCATGAGCGCGTTCAAATTGGTTGCCAGCCTTCTTAAAAATTGCGTACACAAGTGGTTTCATCAGGGGGATGAGATGAAGTTTGCATGTGCTTAGAGATGAGACGCCTTAGTGTAAGCGCGACAACATTGGCCCCTTTGCGAAAACCGCGCAACTCGCTGAGTTATCGGGACACCCAGTGAACACACTGCACAAATGTTCAAATGTAAACAATGCATTGGTAACACCCCTGGCCACTTTCAGATTTAGTTCGTATGGTATTTCTATGTGCACCATTTCAGCCAGAGGCAAGAAATTAACTTATTGTCAAAACCCTGGTGTTACTTGGATGCATGACTCTCAGATGATAAAACTCGTGACTAGAGTGAGTCAGTCTGGACTATCGAAGTTGAATCAATGCGATTAATCGATCGATAGGTTTGTCAGTGGCCGGCCAATCGGAGTGAGGGAAATGTTCTGCTTGGCGAAGCACACGGATTATAAAAATCCATTTTCTTGGATGAGGAATTTTGAGCAAGGTTGTGTGCAAACCATTCTAATATGATTTTCTGAAACGCCTGCATTTTCCCGAATATCAATTCCGCTTGCGCATTGTACGCGTACGTCGCAATTGGTCAGCGAGTTTGTAAGAGTCGATGCTGAACTGATTGACTCGAGAAAGCATAAACCGATAATCGATCACAAGTGAACCGTTAACGTTCGGTAGACTTGGTCATTGGATACAGCAACGTGTCGGTTTGGATACTGCATTGAAGAGGCCTTAATTTTTCAAAGCTGAGCGTTGAGGCCCTTCGTCAGGTCATCTAAAAGCTGAGTATTTGCTTTAGCCTTTCTAGGAAGTCCACCACAAAATTGCTTTTATTTCTTAGCGTGAAATCGATATCAAGTTCTAAATCTCTTAACTAGGAGAATTCACACTTAGTCTACTTGTCAAACTATCTATTCCAGTCCTCCTGGGATTCGGCAATATTTCACGATGCAAAAAAGAAACATTTCCTACGCAACCTTCGGAGCAAACACAGTTCATGCAGATATGGAGCTACCTCAGTGTGTACAACATTCAAGTTTGTCGAAGCCGCCGTTCCTTGGAAAAACACAAGTGGTAAATTCAAAAGCCTGATGAGCCTGCGACAAACAATTAATTAGTACGATTTAATTGATTGGTTAACTGAGTGGTATAATCTTCTAAATTCTCAAAACTATTTTGAGACCTTCTCAGAAAGTTACTGCTTTAATCATCCTTTTAGTAGTGATGATCGCGGGGTCTTGGGCGTTGGTTGGTTAATTTTAGTCTGTCCTCGTGGCATTCTTCTACCGGTTGCTTCTCAGTCCCCCAACCAAGACAGGTACGCGGTTGAGAGGTAAAATACTGCAATACCTGAAGACGTGGAATTTGGAATTTTGTTTGTTTTTAGTTTGACGCTTTTGTCATCTCCTTGGTGAAAATCTTGGTCCCGAGTGGACCTGGGTTGAATTTCTGAGCAACTGTCCCGCAATAAGTGGCAAAGATGAGGTTAGCATTGACCTTCGGTGATGAAAGTCAACACAGACCCCTAGAGCGTTATGTGCCACAATAGGCTAACAGGAGGATAACCATTACATCAGTGAACAGTGATATTTACCGATGTACCAGTTGGTCTAAGCTTGGAGTAGATTTTCAACACTTTCGTTCGGGTAGTTTTGTTCAGGTGACTTACACTCAGAACTGCATCTAACGGCCAAAAAGAGACTGAACATCAAGATAATTGGCAAAGGAGTCTTTAACACAACACACGTATGAAATGATCTTCAAGTGAGCACCCATGGACGACACTCTTCATCGGCAGTACGCGCGTAGCAAAGTTTATATAACCGTATGAACGAACTTTTGAACTGTGTGTCGCGATAGTTCCGTGTTCATGATATCCATCAGACTGCATCGGACAGAGTATAGGCAACCAAGTTACAAACTGAATGACATGATCAGCAAGCCTAACGTGCAGAAGTTTGAGCAACTCTGAAGACTACAGAAAATTGGACGCCTGCCGTTTATAAACTGAAGGACGCGTATTGCGTAGCACTGTCACCAGGCCCTGAACAGAACTCAACTCATTCATCATCCTTACACATTTGATTGTGTTCTAACAGTCTATGTGCATGAGTTCACAACTAGACACCGATGTTGAGATTCGCCCAAAGGATGATATAACCTGAAAGTTAGGGGCGCTAAAATCTTCACAGCTACAGCCGAAGATCTGGGTATCTTTTGTGAAATGTGGGAACACGGAAGACACTGGATTCAGACAGTTCATCGCCCCCTCGAATTTCGGTCTCCTTCAGGAATGGCAGCGGGATTTGTCACTAGTCGTAAAGTAGTAACAGAATGACCTTGTTCCTGCGGTGACAGGTTGACGATTGCATCGATAGTCGTTAGTTAAGGGGTACCCATATATAGGCGAGACGTCGATTACAACTCAAACTTGTCAAGAATGATGAGTCTTTTAGGAGCATAAGCCTGATATCGACTTGTGAATGCCTGTAGTACTAATTTCCAGCTGTGTGTGTTAGGTGGAGGTGAGAAATACCACGCAGTGTGTATCCTCTCGTCTCTTCATTCCACAGCGTCAGTACCGCAGTATGATCACTGGGAACGCCGTCAGCAAACTGACACGCTTCTTGACAAACCAATGGACTTTTATATTAAGAACGCAACTTGTCGGGTCATGTGATTAGAAGTCCAGGGCTTTCCATCAGCCTTCAAAAATGATGAAAATCTATGGAGCTGAGATTTTCCAAATGGTTATTAACCCCGTCATACTGAACTCTTCCTCACTGTATTCTACGACATCAAACTACATTTCTCCGATCTATTCATCCACCAGTTTGCCAGCCAGTTCGGAAATGTAAGTATCACCATCATCATCATCATCATCGACAGCATGACATCAGTGTCCAACACCCTGCTTCACTGCCGTACAACCATGACTTATTTGAAAGCCTCATTGTAAAGAAAAGAGTAAAGGTGGACAGGGAAGGGATTTAAGGCTAGCTTCACACGATCAGTCCGAGGTGCCTACACCTCCAGACATTCACTCGGGCAATCTGGATAGAAAATGACAACAAGAACGCCACTAACATCGCTTGACAGCCATAACTTGTAGTGTCTCCAACCAGGCACAGTGAGGATCACGCGGTCCCCATCCTGGAAGGCGAGTAGCACCGACAGCACCCAAGCGTTTCGTGATCTTCACCGACTAGTCCAGCTTTTGAAATGAACATACTGTGAAGAGAAATCACGTCCATGGATACAGGGCAGTTCACGACGAACGTAAACACAAAATTGAAGGAGGACATTCTCTGTTAAACAGCATAAAGAAGGGCGGCATATTTGGAGAAGCTCGTCTCTTCTGAGGCCCATGGTAAGGCTCAACAGAATCCCTGTGCAAGGTTAAATCTTTTGAATAGGTTGGACAGCGAAGTTCCCGTATGACACTGTATGCTGAGGTCGACGTTTTCAAAACTCGGCAAGCGGTCACATCTGCATGGTGTTTGTTGCCTTCAACAAACAGAGCTGGATTCCTCGGAAACTACTCTTGAAAGGAAGAACGCCTTCGCTGCGGAGTTATTTATTAGGAAATGCCAACTGAACAGTTACAGACTATGGGACAGGAGAGCAAACCTCCCATATGTATCTTGTTTACAAAAACTGAATATCCATCCTCTCTTTGAACGCGTCTTCCTGAACTTTTCTGGTTATTCAGTGCTTGTTGCTCAAATCCAAGCAAATGCTACAACGCGACTCCACAAATTTCGTAATAGATCTCACTTGTCAAGAGACACAAAGCAGATCTACGAGAAAACACGCTACTCGCATGCCTCCATCAGTAGTATCACCGTTACACTCTGAGTAATCAATTGAGAAATACTTTGTGACAACTGGCTCAGAACAGTACATTGTATAAAGTAGTCGCCCAGTGGTTGCGAAGATAACTTCCTGACATTACAGGATGTTTATGGCTTTGCTAGGTGTTACAACGCATTCGTGTCGAGGGTTGGATCCGAGTGAGTACGGTTTATCCGAGTGTAATCAAAACAAAAATCCTTGTTTCTCCGAACTTGACTACGTTTTCTATCGACTGAATCGCGTAGAATTTCTCCCCCATTATCCAAGGTGTCACACTGTAGCGGACGATGCATCCCCAAACCGCAAGTTACACAGCAGTGTTTAAAGGGTTTGAGCGGATCTTGAGAAAATGCTTTCATCTCTGTTAGAACGTTAATGTGATCAACTGTACTGGGCTGTTGCTATTCAGAAAACATCCCCACCAAGCAGTTTGCCTGCTAGGTTTAAACCCTCCGGCGGCGCAAACGCGCATTGGATGAGTTCAATCAAGGCGACAACACCTTCGCCACAGTAGCTCGGCAAGCCCCTGGTCTTGCTGTCTACTAAATGTCTAGTCTTCTATGAACTTCGCCTACTACCACTGTCCATTCTGGAGTAGTGAGATTATCTGACAAGTAACTGGCAAGTCGCACCATGATTCCTCACGTGAAATCCCATAGCTGTTTTTTGTTGTTCACATTGTTTTCTTCCTGTTCACAAGTCGTTCTTACTTCCAACAGAGATTTACCTAATGCGTCATCCTGTCTCAGAAGCTCTTCTGACGGCTTCACTCCTTGGGGCTCTGCTCACCAATTGTTGGCATTTACTTCCAAAGCAATCGATGTTTTCGTGGAGCAGGTAACCCGCAGACTGGGTCCATAGGTGAAGTAGCATGGCCGACTTCTGTGGGGTTCGCTTTCCCCTCAGAAAGACGTAAACATAGAACAGTCTCATAATTTGGTTAAAAGGTTCAGTAGCTAGAAATTTACCTATAAGAACAGTAAGAGTAAAGATACCATTACGGACGTAATATACTACTCATAAGGTTGCTGCAAACTCCTGGAGAGCCCACGACCGGGTTTGACCTTCTGATTCAGGCTCATCAGGTAGGCTCAGAGTTCCCGAGTTTTCGTCAACCTTATATTCTCTTTGAACCCAAATTGCACGAAACATGAGGCAATCTGGTGCAGCACATTCAGTTGTTTGAAGACATCATAAAAGAGAGATCCAGCAGGGTTCCAGATGAGTCTCCGGCCAAAACCAAATTGGTATGCAAATGAATGAATGTAGTATGTTTTCTTGTAAATCCGCTTTGCGCCCCTTGAAAAGTGAGATCTATTACGGAATTTGTGGAGTCGTTCTTTAGCATTTGCTTGAAATTGAGTAACAGTCAATGAATATCCAGGAAGGTTCAGGAAGCCACGTTCAAGGAGAAGATGGATGCTCAGTTTTGCTTTCCTGTTCAGTAGTCTGTAACTGGTCAGTTGGCATTTCTTAATAAATAACTTCGCAGCGAAGGCGTTCTTCCTTTCACCAGTACTTGTGTGCCACATGTTGAGACACCCTTCAAAACGTTCCATGCAAATAGCTGAATGTGACTTGTTCTCAGCCCAACACTTTGCCTTGATATATTTATCGTGAACACAAAATTCTTTTTCGTTGAAGCGTTCTGCTTAGAAGCTGTCGATCGTGAGTTATTTCACACTCGTTAGCATATTGGTGTCATACAGATTTCCCTCAGTGTTCGCCTGTCGCAAACGAAGACTCGTTTTGACAGGAACAAAAATTGAGCTTAATGCGGCTTGGCAACTAATGGACGGGGTAAAATGTAGATCGCGGCGGGGTGGTCGGAAAGAATGACGGCCGTTAGGATAAAGCAAATGGGCCGGGTACGACGTCCAAGGCAGATTTGTCAATCATTCGTTTTGCTGCATGGCCTGAAGTCACTGAAGCTAACGGGTGATGGTGACGGGGCGTGTACCAGTGGCCGTGTCGGAGAGATGAGTCACACGGATCTTGTCACATTTAAGGACCCGGATGGACGGGGGAAGGCGGTTGAGCATAACTGATGGAACGCCGATTAAAAGCCCACAACACAAATGCAAACAAATCAAAATTCGAACGGTTTTGTTTTCTGTCACGCGGTTACTGATTTATCACAGTCCACTGCGGGCCAAACACAACGCATGCAAGCGTGAAGCTATTCCAAGCGTAACTGATTATGCACAAGTATTTTGACTCTGATGCAACGTACATTTGTCTGTTCACGTGACTGGTCAGATGACTGCGCGGTTTCAAGCACCTGCTCACCTGATAGCACTCCGTGATTAGAATGAACAGGTAGTGGAGAAGTAATGAACTTGGATTGATTGTTGGTTGGATTGTTAGTTGAAAGTCATTCATCCACGTAGTCTACTCAGACTAGAATACCAGGTGTGACCCTTAGTTTCGGCATGGGGCTCGAACCTTTGGAAAGTGCAGTCTAATTTTAAAATTTTTGATTCTTTACTATCCTTTGGAAACCTCAGAATGTAAGGTTCGAGGTCGTCGACTGGGATCTTTTCCAGATAAGCCCCGTCAAAGAATTAACCCCTGCCACCCAAAAAACGATTAGAAAACAGAGGATATGAAATTTGTACTTTTAGTTCTTATTGAAGAGGGTGAAATTGGGACATGTCATTTATAATTTGCATGAAAAGGTCCGTCTTTCGATACCTTTGCCTCCAAACGACGTCACACAAGTGGCTGTCCACTAAAGATCGGTGTGTGCCGCATTGGTGTTTATTCTGCATCTTTTACACGTGACAAAGAGTTTCGATGCAGACCTGGATTGTGTCCATCAAAGTGGCTGCAGTTCGATCAGGCACTGCATTCATGAACACCTCTTTGGCTTCCCGGCAGTCCCTCCGAAAATCCACTGCTGGGGAAGGACTCATCCTGCGTGGTTTTCACGGCGAAATATTAGCGTTTCATCGATCTCGACTTGTAGACCTGGACTGCCTATACCTGTTGGAGTCTGCAAAGGCCGCCAGGCGCAAAATTCGCGAAGAGAGTTCTTCCAAACAACAGCGGTTATGTGGCTAATATATAATTCCTCTGAGTAGAATTTGATTTTTGCCAAATTTTTGGACCAGCAATAAATGAATAGAATTACTGTCCTAAGCTCCATCCTAGACCGCTCTAGCCAAGTTCCCTTTCGAAGACTGACTTCTTGCCGACACTGTCGATCATTACACTCCCACCTGTCAGAAACAGTTGAGAGTGTCATTTGGTGGCCATTGTTGCATAAACGTTGCTTGTGGATCACTCCGTGGCCTTTCAAAAAGCGAATTGCTATCTCCTTGTCATGAACGAGAGTTGAAAGCGTCAGAAAGTTCATTTGATGTTTTACGTTCGAACGGGGAACATTTTTGGACAAAATGAGCCTAGATGCGGATAAGGAATTGTTTTAATCAAAAATAGGCCAAGGTTATGTGTGTACTTTAGATTGTAGCTGGCACAATTGGGGGAGGGCTTAGCTTTTCGCACATGCACCTTTTGCATTAGTGACAGCGCGTAGCTGGAAAAGATCCGTTGAAATCCGGCAGTTGCATAATTTGTGATTTCACTGTGACGAATTAAGTCGCCAGCATGCGTTTAGGGTCAAGAATTCATCTCGCATCAGAGGGGTTGTAGGTTGTGACCGTGAGACTCAGGCCCTGCGATTCGTTTTCAAATATCTGATTACCGATATCTTCGAAGCAGAGCACCCATAAACTGGCCGGTGAACACTCGCTATTAATTGTCTTGTAAACGAGCTCATGGTGCAGTAGTAACCGCCATAGCATCAAGACATTCGGCGTCTTTTTGAACCGAGAAAGGGAAGCACCGATAAGCCGATTAAGGGTGAAAGCGTCGTTATGCTTCCTGTTGACAAAAGATGCCCACCAGTGATCACGGGCGTACCTGATTACTTCAATAAAACAGAAGCACCACTCAACTACACGTCATCGCTCAGGACACAATCATAGAGAGAAAAAACAGAAAAAATATCAATAAGAGGACCTCCAAAAGATCACAAAAGAATAATATTGGGGAATGGGAGCGCCTGTGAATTCCAATATCCATAGAAAAACACAGCTTCCACGTGATAGAGAGTTTAAAGGAGAGAGTTTCTGTTTTTATCAGACGCCCCTCAAAGTTCAGAATCATGTCAGGGTAAATTTTGGGATCATCTTAATAAGTTTTGCTCAT